ATGTGCAGTGGATGGTCACTTGGAATTCCTCCAGTTTCCTTTCTGATCAAGAGGGATAAGCAGACTTACAGCACCGAGGCTACTAATCTGAAGGCCCACAACTCCTTTAGCTACAATGAGCTGGTTCACCACAAGACTGTAGGATTCATGGCAATTGTGACCAGAGATCTGGTCAGCAAAAACTAGCCACTTAAGTAGGGACCACCATCAACAAGAATGCTCAGGCCAATCTCAGCAGCATCAGACACATGATCAGAAAGAACAAGTACCACCCTGATCCATCCGTGGAGGCCATCCACAGAGCCAGTGCCATCCTGGGAAGCCAGAAGCCTGTGGTAGTGAAGAAGAAACAGATGTGACCCACCAAGAGCCCCAGAGCCCCACACTGCAGAAGCAATCAAGAGTTGACTGACTTTAATTTTTTTTCAAGAGTGTAAGAAGTTTTCAGTTTTTTAAAATCTGGAAACTTTGCAGACAGAGTCTCAAAAATTCCAAACTGGCTTATGTAGACAAGGCTGACCTTCAAGTCTTGATCCTCCTGCCTCTAACCTCCCAAGTGCTACATGACCGTGCCCGGTTCTCTGAAGTGCTAGGATCTGAACCCAGACCTTTATGCATGTTAGGCAAGCACTCTACTAACAAAGTTATAACCCTACAACCCTGTAGTCACTTTGAGAAAAAAGCAATTGTAGTTTTACACACACATGTAAAATTATCATCTGTGAAGAGAAATACTTGAAAAGCTGGGGCTAGACTACTTTATGAGACCACGAGAAAGATAATTTATGAACAGAAATGTTGTTTCAGAGTATAGTGCTTCCTTGGTTATGCATAAGCCCCTTTCTTCTCTGCCTAGAGCAAGAAAGGAAAAGGCTTCATCCACCAGCAGAGATCTACCAGTTTCCTTTGCAGAAGTTCATCTGAAAGTGAATTAAGTTTCAATTTTAGCTGGGCAGTGGTGGTGCACGCCTTTAATCCCAGCACTTTGGAGGCAGAGGCAGGTAGATTTCTGAGTTCGAGGCCAGCCTGGTCTACAGAGTGAGTTCCAGGACAGCCAGGGCTACACAGAGAAACCCTGTCTCAAAAAACAAAAACAAAACAAAAGTTTCAGCTTGTTCTTACAGAGAAGTTGATCAGGATCAGACTGAACAACAGAGATCCAGAGTTGAAATCCTCAAGCCTCTAGGATTCTTCTCACACTGGAGGATGGATTCCTAACAAGAAACCAGATGGGTACAAGTTGAGACCAGCCTGAGGTGTGCTCATGTCCTTCTATAAGCTGGCATGGACATGTAACAGCTCACTGTTGTGCTGGTTGTTGATTTTTGTGTTCTAGAAGGTTCTCCTTATGGAGAGATTCCCTTGAAGGTAGGATAATGGTCCCCCCTGAGTTTCTTCTTGTTATAATAATCAATTGGACACAGAATTTTCAGTGCTGAAGCTGTGACAGTCTTGAGCAAACCAGGATAGTTCGTCATCCTAAGAATAGACCTTATCCCTGTCAATCACACAGAATTTAGAAAGACTAAACAAGGAAAAAACGGACTGGAGAATGTTAATTTTGATTCTCTCATCTCTTATACATACAATTTTGTAAAATCTTGGTAAAATGTAGAAAATAAAACAGGTCCAAGCACATGGACACACACAGGGGTAATGTCTTTCAGTTTCTTTTCTTTTTTCCAGCATTTGGACGGTAAGAAGGTGGCAAGTTTGAGGATAAACTAGGATACAGAGTTTATAAAGGAGACAAAACAAGCTTTTGCAAAGTTTTGCAAAGCAAGTAGAATGGTTCTTTTTTCTTTTCTTTCTTTTTTTGTTTTGTTTTGTTTTTCGAGACAGGATTTCTCTGTGTAGCCCTGGCTGTCCTGGAACTCATTCTGTAGACCAGGCTGGCCTCAAATTCAGAAATCCGCCTGCCTCTGCCTCCCAAGTGCTGGGATTGAAAGCTTTCACCACCACCGTCCGGTGAAGTAGAATGGTTCTTAGTGTGTGCTAAGTTCTAAGTTTGATTTCCCAGCACAAAAAGAAATAAAATCCAAACCAGGCATGGTGGCACACGTCTTTGATCCCAGCATTTTGGAGGCAGAGGCAAGTGGATCTCCAAAAGTTCCAGAACTGCCAGGGCTACACAAAGAAACCCTGTCTGGGGGGGGGGGGAGCGCAAAATCAACAAAAAAGCAGGTTGCTGATTAAAGAGACCCTGTCTCAGAGAGAGAGAAAGAGAGGGAGAGGGAGGGGGAGGGGGAGGGGAGAGGGAGAGGGAGAGGGAGAGGGAGAGGGGGAGGGAGAGAGGGAGAGAGAGAGGGAGAGAGAGAGAGAGAGAGAGAGAGAGAGAGAGAGAGATCTATAGATAGAGCAAGCAAAAAGCAGGTAGGTGGTTGATTTCTATGAACTCCAGCCTAGCCTAGTCTGTGTAGTGAGTTCTGGGTCAGATAAAGCTACTTAGTGAGACTCTGACTCAACAAAATTAAAACCAACCAGCCAAACTAACAAAATAGAACCAGGTACTGTGGCATGTCTGTCATTCTAGTACTTGGTAGGCTAAGGCAGCAAGATTGGTAAATTTAAGGCCACCCTGAACTAAATAGTCAGTACCAGGCTAGTCATGGCTATATAATGAGATCTTATCTTAAACTAAACAGAAAAAAAAAATGAGCAAAGAACAAAATGTAACAAAGTCTTCATTGTATAATGCTCAGAACCAGTTTCCAATCAACTATCCATTGTCCCACATCCAGGACCTCCTTGAACTCATTAAGTTTACTCTCCTGCCAAGCCACCCACTTCACAGCAGAAGATAAGGATGAGAAACAGCATTTGGAATAGAAATAAACAGCAGATAATAATCCATAATTGCCTTTAAACTTTAGGATGAGTCACCCTCGATTTACTTCCACATTCCTCTGTCGTCTGCTGTTCACGTCTTTATTGAGTGTTACCAGATTAACACTGCCAAAGGCAGGTAGAAAATGATCTAAGAGGCCAGCTCAGAGGTGTCACATGATGAGTGACTGAGAAAATGGGAACAAGACAATCCTCAAGAAAATCTTTTTAGTCCTAGCAAAGACACCAATGTGTGAACCTAATTCACACTTGTATTATCCCTATCAGGTTATTTTTACAACAGTGAAATTTTAGAACAAGACTTGTTAGGGGATTATTTATTTCCTGGGAAGTTCTGTCTATCACTCTGCATATAATATTCTGAGGTCTAACTCTTAGTTTATTCCCCCCCCCCCCACTCCCCTTGAGTTTATTTCAAGCCATGCTTTGTACTTCAGCTTTTAAAAGACAGGGCTCCCTCAGTGGCCCATTCTGACCTAATACTCACTATGTGGTGCATATAGATTGGCTTTGAGATCACAATATAACTGCCTCAACCTCCCAAGAGCTCGAGTTATAGTCTCGAGCCACTATGCCTGCCTCTAAGACCTGTTTTCTCCCCAGAACTGTCCTCTCTACAAAGAATTTCAAAACATGCTATATAAGTATTCCCACATCATAGCCAAAGGAAATATAACCAAGACAGGTCTGGTGGCATAGGTCTGTAATCCCAGCTATTCAGGAACAAGTTTAAGGTCTGTTTAGGCTAGTGAGTTCAAGGCTAGCTTAGGCAACAAAGTAATAAAATGAAAAAAAAAAGTGAGCTAAGGATATGGTTCAGAGGAATAGCACTTGCCTGCCATGCAGAAAGCAGACTCTGTCAATTTAATCTTAAAATCGCCACATTAGAAAGGGAGGGGGGGCTGGAGAGATGGCTCATCAGTTAAGAGCACTGACTGCTCTTCCAGAGGTCCTGAGTTCAATTCTCAGCAACCACATGGTGGCTCACAACCATCTGTAATGGGATCTGATGCCTTCTTCAGGAGTGTGTCTGAAGACAGTGACAGTGTATTCACATATATAAAAAAAATAAGTATTTTTTTTTAAAAAAGCGGGGAAAAAGTAAGAAGAAAGAAACATCAGGCCATCAAGATACCACAGCAGGGGGCTGCAGAGACGGCTCAGTGGTTAAGGGTACCAACTGCTCTTCCAAAGGTCCTAAGTTCAATTCCAAGAAACCACATCGTGGCTCACAAGCATCTGTAATGGGATCTGATGCCCTCTTCTGGTGTGTCTAACACAGTGACAGTGTACTTACATATATAAATAAAGTAAAAAAAAGAAAAAGATACCTCAACAGGTAAAGATGCTTGCTGGCAAACCTGATAGGAGTTTAATCACTCACAAGTTGTCCTCTGACTTCTGTACATGCACCAGGCACCCCTCACACTCAATAAATGAATACATTTTTTAATGTAGTCTAGTTAGATATGAATATTGTAAACTTGGAGTCTCTTGCTCATTGAACTGTCAGGGTCTTTAGAGCCTCTGTAAAGTATGAACTTGGTATTTTGTCTATATTTAATTACTTTATTCAAATTTGCTTAGTCCTTTACCTCATTTAGCCTCTAACTCTGACTCAAGGGCGAACTAGGTGAACTGGAATTCAGATATTCCCCCAAGTAACTAGATCCAAATCACAGTCCGGTTAGTGCCAGCACACTAAGGATGGTGGCTTCCCACTCTCCTTAATGTCCTCTTCAAAACAATCCCGCAAGTGCAGACCAGTTCCTTTCTCTTTATTTTTATTGTCTCTTTCTTTCAGTTCTAGGGATCAGTACCTCACACATGCTAGGCAAGTGCTTACTTACTTATATTAGATCATTTCTCAACTAAATTCATTCCTTCTATTTGCCAATGTAGACAGCAAAGAAGAAAAACAGAGACTCAGGGCACCAGGCAAGATGGCTTAGATCAGCATTTGGGAGGCTGAAGCAGGAGGGCTGCTACAAGCTCCAGGCCAACCTGGGCTACATAGCAAGCACCAGGACAGCCAGCCTGTGCTATATAAAAAACGGTCTCATACAAACTAACAGTAAGTGAATAAATAAGTAAATAAATCAGGACAAACACTTTTCATTTGAGGTCCCCAGATAATTGAAACAACAACAAAATGCTTTGGCTATGTGCTGTTTTCTCCTTTATTGTGTGATTTTGCTGTTGCAACCAGTGAACTTTCACAAGAATAGCGCACAGCCCGGAGTTCACCGCACATTAGGGAAACACCATCTTGATTTTGGTCTAATTGACACATTTGCCCTTGCACCTGCCCTTCTAAAACTTTAAATGTTAATTTATGACAAGTGTTCAGTACCACTGGATGACTGAACTTCCCGATAAGTAAGGGGAAGAGTTGTCAGTCTATTCTGGAAAGTCTTCTTCCTTCCTCTCTCTACCTTCCATACTAACTAAAATGAGTGAGTATCAGCTCCTGCCGGATTCGGTCAGCTTCTAAGTCCAGAGACTCCATTTGCTCATACTCCCCCTCAGGGGGCTGTTCAATGGGTCCAGTCACTGGAGAGGACCAAACATCCATCCCATGTTCTAGGGAAATGTTGTGAAGGACACAACAAGCTAAGATGATGTGGCTGGATTTCTCTGGTGAGTACTGCAGTGCCCCTTTCGATCCATCCAGACACCGGAACCTACAGCAGAGGGTCCGCAAAGTCTTCTCCATCACACTGTGAGTTGCAGAATGGGCCCTATTATAGCGATATTCTGCTGGAGTTTCAGGAATGTGTAGTGGAGTCAAGAGCCAGGTGTGGAGAAAGAAGGAACTGTCACCTGCATGAAAGGCCAAAGAGAACATGACTGTGAATGGACTACAAACAAAAAGTGAAGTTCAAGCTAGTTATGGTGCTCATGACTGTGATCTCAGTGCTCAAGATGCTGAGACAGAAGGACTACCTCAAGTACCAGGCCAGCCTGAACTGCACAGTGAGACCTTGTGTCACAGAACAAAACCAGGGACATTTGGGACAGGAAAATAAATAGACTTTGAAGCCAAATCATACCATAGCATAATAGCCAGAAGAAAAATGTTGTCATAAGAAAGTATGAGGAGGGAAGAGTGATGGCTCAGAGGTTAAAAGTATGGGCTGCTCTTACAGAGGACCTGGGTTCAGTTCCCAGCTCCCACATGTGGCTTACAACAGTCTGTAAGTCCAGCTCCAGGGAGGTCAACACTCTGTCCTCGCCTCCAAGGTTACCAGGCACACTCGTGTAGTATACGTACATCTATGCAGGCAAACTCTCAGACACATAAAATAAAGAGAAAGACTTTTAAATAGAGCATGAACTAGTACTGATTGGCCCTCTCCCCCTCTCCCTGAGGCGTGTCTGATCTCCACAGTTCTTTATTGCCCCTTCCCTTTTCTCCATGGTGGTGATGACAGTAGGTGATGGATGTCAAGACCGGAAGCCAACTTGAGTATAGGTGGCACAAAGAGGAATGTCTGCACTTGGGAGGCTAAGGCAGGAAGACAACCAGTGAGGCCAGCCTTGTCTACACAATGAGAACCCGTCAAAAACAACAAAATGTCACTGCATAGAAAAAGTGTTGGATTTGCCGGGTGGTGGTGGCTCACACCTTTAATCCCAGCACTTGGGAGGCAGAGACAGGCGGATTTCTGAGTTCAAGGCCAGCCTGGTCTACAGAGTGAGTTCCAGGATAGCCAGGGCTACACAGAGAAATCCTGTCTCAAAAAAACCAAAAAAAAAAAAAAGTGTTGGATGGCAATATCCTTGACTAAAACCAATGGACAAAAAGCTGAGAGCTAACAAATCCGAATCTGAGAGCATCCAAAGGGAGGAAGTAGATACACAGGAATCCAATCATTGGCCTTTTCTTTCTTGGTGTTTTATTTTTTTTAACCATGCTGGGGGAGAATTCAGGACCTTGCACAAATAAAGAAGCACTCTGTCTCAGCAATAGCCCTCAAAATTCCCTCTGTCTTTTCTACACTTACTTTTCTTTTTCTCGAGACAGTTTCATGTAGCCCATCTGGCCTGGACCTTACTAAGCAGCTAAGGATAACCTTGAATTCCTGATCCTCCTTTCTTTACCCCAAGTGCTGGAGTTGTAGGTGTGTACATCACCATCTTCCCCCATACTCCCCACCCCCGTAAGGTTTCAAATTCAGAGATACTGCTCTTTATAAAAGGCTTAATACAAATGATAAAGGTTGAGATGTGGTGGCATATATCTTTAATCCCAGCACTCTGGAGCCAGAGTCAGGTAGATCTCTGTGAGTTTGAAGCCAGTCTGGTCTACAATGTGAGACCCTGACTCAAGCAAATAAACCAACTCCATCCCCCCAATCAAACAGGATACCAATTTTACAAATCTCTAAATAGAAAGTATTCAAGAAAAAAGAAAGATCTTCTAACAGGAGATCTAAAAACACTCAAGAGGAAAACTTCTAATTTTACTATTAAGTTTCATGTCTGAAAGCATGACCTGGGGATTTTGTACAACATCCCAGCGATTTGTCTTCCCAGTACTGAGAAGAGCAAGAGCTGTGTCTGCAGTAGCCATCAGGACTCAGGGCTACCGGATTCTTGGATACTACAATCACAGAATGATGCTTGTGTAACACTACCTGGGAGAACATGAATATGATGATGCAAACAGTAATAACGAGAAGAGATCAGAAGTGGATTCAAGTAACAAACAGAAGGCATTTCCTTTAAGTGACTTACTTATTAGAGGATTCTGGGAAGTCTTAAGAAAAGCAAACACAAGCCGGGCAATGGTGGTGCACACCTTTAATCCCAGCACTTGGGAGGGAGAGACAGGCGGATTTCTGAGTTCAAGGCTAGCCTGGTCTACAGAGTGAGTTCCAGGACAGCCAGGGCTATACAGAGAAACCCTGTCTCAAAAAACAAAACAACAACAACAACAACAACAAAAAAAAAGCAAACACAAATGGGGAGCAAAGTCCTAGTCCAAGAGAACAATGTTTTTATAATGTTTAATTGTCCTAACTCACCACCTCTGACAAACAAAGCAGCTCACACAGAGGTGTGACTTCTTAAAAGTCCTAATCAGACACTGAACCCTGAGAACTAAGGTAAGCACTATGCTCCTAACCCGCCACCAGGTTCAGTAAATAGTCAACTCTTAAAACAGAGATAGCCACTGTTCCAAAAATAATAAAAGACTTCTTTCATTTTGGAGCTTATGTTTCTAAGACTGGATTAGCTGAAAATAACTGAGATGTCTCACAAAAATGTAAAGTTTATATTTAGCTGGTTTTCTTTTTGGGGACAGAGTCTTATGCTGTAGACCTAAAACTCCTTAGGTAGCTCATGCTGACCTGAAATTCACAGCAATCCTCCTGTTTCAGTCTCCTAAGCGCTTGGATTATAGGCATGAGCTACCACACCTGGCTTCCCCCTCCTCCACCACTTTTGTTTTGTTTTGAAGCCAGGGTCTCATATAGTTCAGGCCCCCAAGCTTCTGATATGATACTCTTGTCTCTACCTCTCAAATGCTGGGATTACAAGTGTACACCAACTCCCACTCTTATTTTAACTGAATGCACTCTTTCTAAATACTATCTAAAAAACAAAACAAAAACAAACAAACAAACAAAAAGGGTGTAGAGCAAGCTACGATGGTATACACAGCAATGCAGTCAAAGCTAAGAAGAGGAAATGGAGGAGAGAAATGGAAACATGCTGCTGGATCCTAGACGGCTCAGAGTAAAGGTGCTTAATACAAATACAAAGCCTGAGGATCTGGGTTTGATCCCTAGAACCGAAGTGTGGAAGGACAGAACCGACTCCTGCAAATTGTCCACATAAATATAAAAAAAGTCTTAAAAGGATATTATAAACAATAATGAAAATAATACTTATGGCAGACTGAACAGTGACATCTGTGACCTGCTGAACACAGGGACTGTAATAAGTCTCAGAAACAAACCAAAAACAAAAAACCTGGAGCAGGGCAAGACGGCTCAGTGGGTAAAGCAATTCATAACCTGAATTCAATCCCTGGGATTTACAGAAAGGTGGAAACAGAGAATCAATTCCAAAGGTTCCTGATCTCACACAAATGCTATGAAATGTATGCACTGAACACTTACACATCACACACACACACACTCACGCTAAATAAAACAAGCTCCGTAGTCACTAGCTGGTTAAAATTCAAGCATCATTGGAAAACAGATACTCATGAGGAGATTAGGATTAGATGGGGAATAGATTATAAATGTTTATTCGATCACTCAGTCACCTGTAAGAAATTCTGGGAGAGCCAAAGCTGCTTAACAGCACTAGCCTAAGAGCTGAAGAACTAAGAACACAAGCTGACTGTTTAGAAGTGGTGTGATTAGAGCCAGGGAGTTTAAGTAATACACCGATAGGGACAGCTAAGGATAATAACAGGAAGGGATGGCTTAAAAGGAACTTAAAGTGGAGTGAGACGGTGTATACCTGTAATCCCAGCTACCTCAATATGACCTGAGAGACTCAAGCCATTCTGGGAAACAGTGAGATGCCTATTTCAAAAAAAGGAAAAGACAAGAAAAAAAAAAAAAAGAAAAGGAATTTAAATATTCCATGACTCTCAATTTCTTCTTTTATAAAAAACATTGATAATATTATTTGCCTTTTTTTGAAAGCAGGGTCTCCTGTTTCCCTGGCTGGTCTTGAATTTCCTTGTAATACTAGCACTAAGAAGGCTGAGGCTGGATTACGAGGATTATGAGTTCAAGGCCATTTTAGGAGTCAGTTTGAGGCCAAACTTGATGTCAAATTTTAATCCTGTCCCATGCAACCTACTGCAATGTACATTGTATTGGCAACTCTCATGTATTGTTTGAGCTCGTTGAGAAACTAGCTCTAGAATCTAGGGTTCCTCCCCCAAGTTCAGACCCAAGCACATTCATGTCAGTGTCTTTCAAGGCTCCCAGTCTGGAGATGGGCTGCCTGCTCCAAACTTTGTGAGAAGAAAACAACAAAACAGCCCTATAGTCAAAACATCCTGTTCTTGAAACAGCTGGAAGGAGAACCATGCCAACAGATATTACTACTATTTAGCCCATGATATAAATGTCTTGCAGTGAGAAAGACATGCTGGAGGAGGTTCAGCATGGGCACCTGGTCCACAGACAGAAAACTCAACCAGGGACTCCAGCTGACTGCTTCAACTTCCCCAACGGTTTCTACTGGATGTCTTAAGCCCTAATTTGATTGTCTGTCTGCCTGTCTGTCTGTTTCTACCTACCACTTGTTATATTCTTTTACTTCTGTTTGCTTCTTACTGTTTGTTTGTTTGTTTGTTTGTTTTTTGAGACAAGGTTTCTCTATGTAGCCCTGGCTGTCCTGGAACTCACTCTGTAGACCAGGCTGGCCTCGAACTTAGAAATCCGCCTGCCTCTGCCTCCCAAGTGCCTGCCACCACTGCCTGGCTGTTTGCTACTTACTTAATAAACTTGTTCATTGAAAACTGAAAGTACGACTATTGTAGATCATTCTATGAACAATACAGAACACCAGGTTGGCCATGACCTTAATAAGTAGTAAAATTGGTCTTTAACTCTTCATCTTCCTGCCTAATTTTCCAAGTGCTTCACTACAGGTATGTGCTGCCATGCCCAGCTCTTTTCTTTTGTCTAGGTTAGAACTCCTCTGCTCAAATGATCCCTTTGCCTCAGTCTCTGCTATATCTGACAGTATGGCCAGGAGCCGCAGGCTCAATTCAAACCATTGAACACTTAAACATAATATGCTATGCTAGGCAAGCACTCAGGAAGGGCAGAGGTAGGTGGATCTTTGTGCATTTAAGGCTAGCCTGTTCTACAAAGAGAGTTCCAGAACAACCAGGGCTACACAGAGAAACCATGTCTCTACAAAACAAAGAAAACATAATATGTCGTGTATTAGATAGCCTGTCCTATTGTTTATCTAATAGTAGAGCTTTAGAGGTGTAGGGGTTTGAATATGAATGGCCCCTATAGATTTATGTGCATGAATGCTTGGCCCATAGGGAGTGTTACTATTAGGAGAGGTGCCCTTGTTGGAGTAGGTATGGACTTGTTGGAGGAAGTATGTCACTGGAGGTGGGCTTTGAGGTCTTAAAAGCTCAAGTCTGGCCAGGGCCAGTGTGTCTGAGTTTCCTTCTGCTACCTGCAAAACAAGATGTAGAACTCTCAGCTCCTTCTCCAGCATGCTTGATGACATCATGTTTCCACCATGACGATAATGGACTGAACTTCTGAACTTATAGGCTAGTCCCAATTAAATGCTTTCCTCTACAGGAGTTGCCTTGGTCAAGCTGTCTCTTCATACACATACCCAACCTCCCAACCCCCACCCCCAAGAAGGGGCTAGAGAAAAAACTCAGTGCTGGCTGCTCTTCCAGAGGACATGAGTTTGGTTCCCAGCATAGCTGCTCACAGCTATCTATAACTCCAGTTCAGGATATCTAGTACCTTCTGCAGGCACACACATGGTACACAGACATACAAAACACCCATAGAGATTAAAAAAAGAAAGTAAAGCTCAAACCAACAAGGCTTTCAGGATTAAGAGTTTCATTGTTTCTAACAGTATACTTCACAGCTGAGTAGTCACTTTGGTTTACACTACATAATGGTGAACAAATTCTTATCTGGCTCAGATCACTGAGTCAGTCTTTAAATGAGATTCAGTCTATATAAGCAGATTGGAGAAGCAAGCTCTCTTTTTGTTCATTTGTTTTTGTTTTTACAGGGTTTCTCTGTGTAGCCCTGGCTGTCCTGGAACTCACTCTGTAGACCAGGCTGGCCTCAAACTCAGAGATCACCTGCCTCTGTCTCCTGAGTGCTGAGATTAAAGGTGTGTGCAACCACTGCCTGACTGCATCACTAGTATTATAGTCATCATTTTACAGATGATAACAATTATTGCTCCTATGGATGTACTATAATTAACAAGCTCTGTTCTGGTAAGTAATTTGGCTGATGTGTGTGTATGTTTTGAGGCCAGAGATCAACCTAGATGGGGTTTCTCTTTAGCCTGAAGTTTACCCCAGAGATCTGCCTATCTCTTCCTCCTTAGGACTAGAATTGTGTGCACCATCATGCCTGGCTTTTAAAAACAAAAACAAAAACAAAACAAAAAAACATGGGTTCAATTCCTGGGACCCCATACTTGAATAGTATCAAACTCAGGACTCTAGACTCAAATGGTAAGCAGTTTATCACTAAGCTATCTCCTGAGTCTCTACAACAATGGTTCTCAAACTCTGGGTCAAAACTCCTTGTGGAGGTCAAATGACTCTCTCACAGGAGTCACCTAAAACCAATGGAAAACACAGATATTTACATTACAATTCATAACCGTGGCAAGATTATAGTTATGATAGAAATGAAAATAACTTTATGGTTGGGGGCCATCACAACATGAGGAACTGTATTAAAGGGCCAAAGCATTAAGAAGGTTGAGAAGCACTGGTTTATAGGGTTGTTTCTGTAGCTCTGTTGGCAATGCAAATTCTTGTGATCTTGGTTTTCTATTTGTTTTTGACTTTGCTGTAAATCAAGGCAACTTTGAATCCTTGATCCTCTTGACCCTTCCTCCCAAATTGTGGACTTAGACGTTCTGGTACCACAGGTCTTATTTTACATGTCCGTGAACTCAGAACTCCAAGATAAATTCTTAGAAGAATGAAGGCAAATAATGTTTTTAAGTTACAGAGAATGAGCTTTATATTATTGTAATTATTATTCTTAGCTTAATAAAAAAAATCGTGTGTTTGTGTGTGTGTGTGTGTGTATGTAAGTATGCCCATGTGGGTTCAAGTACCTTGAGGGGCCAGAAGAGAACATTCATCCTCTAGTGCTGAAGTTATTGGCAGTTGTAAGCCACCCAATGTGGGTGTTGAGAACTGAATTCAGTTCTTCTGGAAGAGCAAATAATCTCTAAGCCATCTCTCTAGCCCCTGTTTAGTTTTTGAGATGGAGGGTCATGTATCACAGGCTAGCCTCAAGCTTCCTATATAGCTGAGGATCACCCTGAACTTCTGATACTCCCGCCTTCTGAATACTGGGAATGTAGTTATGCACCGACACAGTTATGCACAACAGCCAATGCAGTGCTGAGGACTGAGCCCAGGACCTCCTACTCACTACTAACTGATCTACATTTCTATTCCCTTATTTTTGAGACAGGGTCTCCCTCTACATCCAGGTTGGCCTGGAACACTCTGTCTGGAACTTGAGAGCCTTTTGCCTCAGCCTACCCAGTCCTGGGATTATAAGCATATAAAATAAAACCCAGCTTAAATATTGTTTCTGTTTAAAACTTTTTTAAGATTTATTTTATGTGTATCGGTCTTATGCCTGCATGTACATCTGTGTATCATGTGCACACCTTATGCTGTGGAAGTCAGAAGAAAGCTTTAGATTCCCTAGAACTGAAGTTCTGGAACTGGGTATTTGTGAGCCTCTATGTGAACGATGGGAATCAAACCCAGGTCCTCTTCAAGAACAAGTGTTCTTAATTACCAAGACACCTCTCCATCCCTTAAATATTAATTAAAAAATCAATGTGCAGAGGTTGAAGGTTCAGTGGTAAAATCCTTGCCTGGCATTCCCAAGCCTTGGGTTTGATCCCTGGTACAGGAATAGTAATAAAAATAATTATGAGGACATGGTGGTATATACTTGAGAGGCTAAGGCAAATGAATCTCTGAGTCCAAGGCTGGCTACATTGAAAATTCCAGGCTACATAACAAGTGACCTATCTCAAAATGTTTCTAAAAAGTAATAATAATAATCCCAGCACTTGGGAGGCAGAGGCAGGTGGATTTCTGAGTTCAAGAGTTCGAGGCTAGCCTGGTATACAGAGTGAGTTCCAGAACAGCCAGGGCTACACAGAGAAACCCTGTCTTGAAAAAAAAAAAAAGTAATAATAACAAAAGAACACAAAAAGGCCCAGAGAGTTCTCACCAGAGGTTTCACAGGATAAACAAAAGAATGAAGAGTAAGACTAAAGAACCTCAGATTCCACCCACTTTCCTGCGTAACTTTTCTATGGATATAAACTGAAGATTTATACTTGCGAACTTACCAAGAAGCCAGCTATCTTTGGGCATCCCAGTTTCAAACTGACTGCTTAAAGAAGACCTCTGTAGCACAGCACAGTCCTGGAGGCTACCTGGCCAGCTTGTTTCCACAGTCATCAGTGCCCCTCTGATGTCACACACCACCAGGCAGTTTAAAGAATGCAGACCCTTTCGGTTCACATAAGAGAGGTCTTCAGCATTTGGTGCCTTGATTGCTACATGGATACAGTCAGCCACACCTATCACCCCTGGCATCCCTGCCAAGCCATAGAATTCATCCTTGAGAGACTGTATGGCAGCTTCATCAGCTGGAAAGCGAATAAACTGGGAGGCCCGTTCCACAAGGGCTTCAGTGACATTGGCAACGCAGCGACTCATAGAGGCTTGACTAATTCCAATTGCATCTCCCATCCGAGTCTGGAAGGAACCTGAGGTATAAAAACCTAATGCTGCCAGGATCTGTGTTTCTGGGCTAATAGCTCTAGATCGCTGAGTAGGTCGAGAAAGACTTGCCCCCAAGAGTTCCACTAAGTAGTAGATGAATTGCCGGGGAAATCCATACATGGACATCAAGTATTCATCAGTCACATCATCCAGCTTAAAACGGTCTAAGGTCCGGTGACCTCGGCCATACAGCAAGAGATCACAGTCAAGCACTGTTATTGGTATAGCCATTGCTAATGTGGATGTTCTCTTCTATCTGCTTTTCCTGAATTTTTCCCAACAAAGAGGTGGGCACAAAAGTATCAGAATTCAACAGCTAACCATCATCAGTTAAATGGCTCTGACATTTATAATCTTCTTTCTGTAAATGTCAATTAAAAGAAAAAAGTTAGAAACTTATCCAAATCATTCCAAATGACTCAAAACCTACATCTTTTCAGCAATTCGCTTTTTAACTCTAGATTTATCTCCACTGACTCACTACTACATGACAAACTTGATCTAATTTGCAAACAATGGGAGTTCAATACTAATGGCTCATCTAATGCCTGGCATTTCAACTGAGAACATCAAATGAGAACCAAGTATTCACAAGGTAAAAGAGGTCTATGGCAGCCATGACACAGCTGACAAGTCCTAAACACCTTAAGGATTACTCAGAGAGGCGTTTTGCAAAGCCCTATGGCTCCACAGATGTGGGAGTGCTCAAACCAGTCCAACTAGGGAGGTAGAAGAACAAAGGGGGATTAAAAAAAAGGAAGGAAGGAAGGAGAGGAAGGAAGGAAGGAAAGGAAGGAAGAAAGACAGTCCATGACCCTGCCTGGGGACCTACATTGTCTGCTGTAACAGGCTTTCTCTTCATCTCAAGAGATCCAAATCCTGAGGCTTTAGAAAGGAAGATTAGCCAGTATAAAAGGGAGGAAAGGAGGAAGAGGCTAAGTGAACCAGGTAGATGTGGAACACCAGGGCCACTTTTACAGCCCGTTTTCAAAACAATATTAAGTGACAAAGATGGCTCTGAGGGCACAGGATTTGGCTGTGAAGTCTGGTGAAATAAATGGGTTGCCTATCTGAGATCCATACGGTATAAAAAAAAGAATTGTCTGACTTAAGTTGTCCTCTGACCTCCAACATCCTTTCCACTGCACGCCCACCTCCAATACATACATGTAATTAAAAATAAAGTTTATTCCTTTAAAAGTCGTCTTAAGTAAAGATACCCAAGCCAGGAATGGTGGCTCACTGTACTTAGGAAGTGTAGACCAGAGGATCATGTGCAAGGCAAGCGTGGACTACAGGAGCGCTAGTCAAAACAAAGCAAAACAAAAAATTCCTAAGGTTGGTCCAGCCTGTAACGTTAGCATTCTGGATGCTGCATAGCATCGACGTGTTCCAGGCCAGCTTGAGCTACATAACGTTCAAAGCTAACCTGAGTTACACAGCGAGACTTTGTCTCAAAAATAGCAAAATAACCAAAGTCTGACCGCTCGGCCCAGTGTAACCGAACGCTGATCACCACCTTTCCGTAGCTACCGAACTACCCGGAGCACACTCCACCCTCGGGGCCGAAGAAGGCCCGCCTCCGGAACCCACGGCCGTACATAGGCCGCCACGGTGCGCAACAGCGACACCACCCCTTCCGCATCAGCGCCGGCCCCACGCCGCGTCCTCAGCACCTCGGCCACCGCGGCCTGCGCTTCGCCGCCGAACATTCCACACGAAACCCAGTCTTCCACTCCCCAAATTCCTTCCCAAACACTTTTTGTTTCCCTAAAAGACTTTAAAATTAAGCAAATGATTTATTTCCGGAAAGAAACTACCTTTCGTGAAGACTCTGAGATACATAAATATTAAATAGGGCGTCTGTGGTGTGGCGAAAGTGCAGTTGAAGTTAGGCACCTGCATTTCCCCTGTGGCGCTCTACCTCCCCACCGCCTGCACTGAAGCAGATGAAAACAAACACTAAGGATGGCGGCGCCGGGCTGCGACCGGTTGCTGGCTTAGGGCGGGAGAGATCGTTTGACGTGTGAAGGGGAAGCTCTGAGGAAAACCAGTCGACACCAGCCCGACAGCTTTTTCAGTTCTGGGATTCGGGAGCCTCCTTAGCGTGAGGTATCTCTCTGCGACCTGTGCTGTCACTACCGCCCCGGAGCGCGGAACCCTCAGCCGGGAGGTGTGGTTGGCCGGCCCCAGGCCCCGGCCTCCGGAATGAGAGCCCGGAGCCACTCTCTGTGCCGTAGCATCACAGGTACTCACTTTTGAGGGTAATAACCCCCGGATCTTTCAGCGCCCCCGAGTGGGAGGTCACTGATCTGCGTTCCCTTGGCCACCTCCTTGGGGACGCCCAAGCCAAGCAGCCGAGGTTCAGTTCCATAATCCTCACGTTATGTTTTCTACGGGAAGATGGGTTGGTGTCACCCTGTTGGCTCTTGAGACATCCCAACTGTTACAGACTATCCCCCGAAATTCTTCTATTTTCTCTTCGGGTTATGTCAAAAGATCTATTGGAGAACATTTGTAGGGCCGTAACTCCAGAGTTGGGTACCAAGATGGGTAAGGTAGGTTTTCAATCGATCAAAAAAATTTGAATGCCAAATATGTACAGTACTCCAAGTGTAGATGAGGGTGACTTGATTAGTGAAAAAAAAAATCTGTTTTCTACTGGGACTATCTTCTTACTGGCAGTGGAACAACCTGTACAAATCTGGAACCATTCTCATTAAATCTCTGAGTAAGTGGCTAAGCCTCTTCTTGGGCTAGTCACTAATGCATCTCAGTTTTAAATTTCTCATTCACTTTTTTCTTAGTTAACCTGCTCAATCCAACCTCAAGGTAACATTTCTTTTTTGCTTCCCCTACCTTCATGGTAACCCAGGTTGGCCTTAAACTCTTGTGCTTCAGTTATCCTCTTCACTCAACCTCCTGAGTAGCTGAGAATACCAACTTAGGCTGTCACCAGGTCTAGGTTGGGATAGTTGAAAACAGGGTTCAGATATGCAGCCTAGGTTTGCCTTGAATTACTGGTCCTCCTATCCCCACTATCGTAAGTGTTGAGATTATCCAGCATATACCATCATATCTAGTCTTGAAATCCTTTTAGTTAACCAACAGATGTATATATATATATGTTTATTTATATGTATACAATAATTATATATTTATACACAAACGTGTTCTTTTTAAAAAAGATTTATTTATTTATGTATTTATGTATTTATCTTATGTATATGAGTACACTGTCGCTGTCTTCGACACACCAGAAGAGGGCATTGGATTCCCATTACAGATGATTGTGAGCCACCCAGCCAAACAGCTCGCTCTATCTATCTATCTGCTGTTGTTGGTTTTTGAGACAGGATATTTACTATATATCCCAGGCTGGCTTCCACTCTAGATAGTTATGGGTGACCTTGAACTCTTGAACCTCTTCCTCCTGAATACTAGAATTATAAGTGTGACGTACCATACCCAACACTAAAGACTGAGTTTAAATCTTTTAAAGGCTTTTTATTTTTTATTTTTTGGTTTTTCGAGACAGGATTTCTCTCTGTGTAGCCCTGGCTGTCCTGGAACTCACTCTGTAGACCAGGCTGGCCTCGAACTCAGAAATCCATCTGCCTCTGCCTCCCAAGTGCTGGGATTAAAGGCGTGCGCCACCACCACCCGGCCTTTTAAAGGCTTATAACTCATTAAAATTACTCCAAATTCATTTTAAATACCTGTCTGATTTAACTGCAGAGTGCATATAGACCAACTTATTAGAAAAGTCTTCTGAAAGCTATTGTAGGCTGCACAGGTAATTTCTTTTAATGGTGTCCTTGTCACAATAGAAGGGACGAGAGTGTGAATCACCACTACTTAGAAAAGCAACTGAATGGCCTTGTACAGCTGATTAGTACAAGTAAATGGTTAAGTCAAGAACTAATAGAAGTCATAACAGAGCTACAGTTTTGGAGAATGCTGCTTCCACTTTAGGTTTACAGATATATGAATAAATTCCAGAGTTAAAAGACATTTTACGGTCCTTGTCATTTTAAGGGGTTTACCTCTCTCCCTTTTAGTATTTCCAATAGCTCTCTTATTTAAAGATAACTTAAGGTGGAATTAAGATCAGATGCTTTGAGGTGGATGTTAGTTAGATACTCTTTTAAATAAAGATTTATTGTTGTGGTTAATTATTTTACCTTTAATCTTTTGTGTTTTTTTTTCTGTCCTCCCTTGGCCTTGTTTATTTTTTGGATTCTGTTTATTTTGTGTGTAGCTCTTGGATGGCCTGGGAGCTGAGGTTTTCCTCCTGCCTCATCATTTGTGTTCTTGGATTCTAAGCATTCACTGCCATGGTGGATTTTAAAAACACATAGTGCATTTGTGCAGGAGTGATCTGTATGCTTGTGTCTGTGTTTATGTGTGAATAGGCACCTGTGCGACAGGGTATATGTGAAGGACAGAGAACGTGTGGGAGTAGTTTCTCTCTTTTCACCATGAGGGTTACAGGAATGAAACTCATGTCATCAGGCTTGGTGGTAAATACCTTTACCTGCCGAACCATCTCACCATCCTTGTAGGAATTTTTGCTTCATATATTTTTATTGCTGTGTTGCTTGGTGTATAAACATAAATAGCTACTATATTTCTATAGATTATATTCTAACTTTTTCCAGTGAAAATTCTGATTTCTTTGTGTACCCATATGTGTGTGTGTGTGTGCATATGTGTGCATGCCTGAAGTCAAAATCAGGTGTTTTTTATTAACTTCTATCTTCTATTTGGAGACAAGGTCTCATGAAACCTGGAGCTTGCTGCTTTGGCTATACTGGCTGGCCAGCAAGCTTCCCACATTCCACCTGTGTCTTCCTCCACCAGTGATGGGCTAGAGATGTTTTCTGTATGGCCTTGTTTTTACATGGATGTTGGGAACATGAAGTTGAGTCCTCATGTGTGTGTGTAGTAAACATTTTACCCATTAAGCAATTTTGCAGTCCAAAATTCTGATTTATTATAATATCACATCTTCACTCTTTCCGTTGTTCCCTTCTTGTCTTCCTTCCTTTCTTTTTTTAAAATTAATTGTTGGGAGTGTACTCAGATGTCATAGTGAGTATATGGAGTCAGTCCTGTCCTTCCATCTTTGTGTGTGCTGGGTATTGAATTCTGATCTAAGGTCTACAGGTTTGCACAGCAAGTGTCATTACTTGCTGAGCCATGTTGCCATCCCCTCGATTTTGACCTTATTACAGTAGCACTTCAGTTGGTGTTGAATGACTTGGATTTACCAAATCTGATTTAAGATTTTTTTGGATGGGTATCACTTGCAGCTAAGCCTGATGACCTGAGTTTAATTCGGGGGACCCATATGGTAGAAGGAAAGAACTAATTCCCACAAGTTATCCTCTGATACATACCACACAAATGTCTTACCCCAAAGAGATGAACAAATCAATGCAATTACAAAAACTTTAAGTTTTCATGGAATTTACTCTTTTTTTTTTTTTCCCCCTGAGACAGGGTTTCTCTATATAGCCCTGGCTGTCCTGGAACTCACTCTGTAGACCAGGCTGGCCTCTAACTCAGAAATTCGCCTGCCTCTGCCTCCCAAGTGCTGGGATGGATTAAAGACATGCGCCACCACTGCCTGGTGTGGAATTTACTCTTAACTACCATCTTTCTTACATGGGTGGGGTTAAACTTTTCACTGGGTAAATACTTGGTCTCCGGTGACCAGCCCTAGCCTGAGGTCATGTAGTTCCCTGCCCTAAGGTGCCTCGGTAGTATAAACCTAGCTTCAGTTGAAAAACAAAAGGCTGTTCACAATTGGGGGCCATATCTTTAATCTTAGCACTCATGAGGCTCTGAGTTCAAGGCCAGCCTGGTTTACAGAGTAAGTTCTAAGACAACCAGGGCTACCTAAAGAAATTCGGTCTCAAAAAACAAACAAAAAGATATTTCACTCAAAATGTGAATTTTAGGCCAAGTTGAGCAATATAGTGAGATAATTCCTCAAAAACCAAATCTGATTGAAGAAAAATGGATGGTGGCTGGAAATGGTTCAGTGGTTAAAAGCACTGACTGCTCTTCCAGAAACCCAGATGTAACTCCATAAGATAGCCCACTGTAATTCCAGTTTCAAGGGGATCCGATACCCCGTTTGTGGCCTCTGCATGAATATGGTGTGCAGGAAAAACACCCTTAGACATAAAATAGAAATAAATACCACTGGAAAACAAGTCTGGGTGGGATCTGAAGGCCTGTAACACCCTTTCACTTGGAAAACTAAGATCTTGATAAGATCTCTGGCTAAAGGTTATCTTCTTCTGTTTGCACTGTCCTTGGCCACCCAGAAAATAAACCAAAACAAAGGGGATAAGTAACAAGAGTTGAAAAGGAATCTTGAAGACTAGTGGGGATGTATTTTCACAGTTCCTTAAGTGGAAATTTAGAGCCAGGCAGTGGTTTTGCTTGAGGCCATCTCTGAATTCAAGGCCAGCCTGGACTACAGAACGATTTCAGGACAGCCAGGACTACACAGGGAAACCCTGTCTCAAAAGACAGGAAGAAAAGGAAATGAAAATTTAGAGTTTCATGATCTAGTAGCTTTACTCCTGAGTGTATACTTAGAATTGACACCTATGTTTGTAGCAGCATTGCTAATCGGAGTTAAAACAGAAGCAACTCAAGCAAGTACATCTGGTAAGTAGATTAAAAAAATATTCACATGCAGTGTTAATCTTCCAAAAAATTGTTCTCAAATATGCTGGCCTAGGTCATTAATTGTCAACTTGCCATGGCCTATAATCATCTGGAAAAGGATTCTGGGTTGAGTGATTATCTTTACCAGATTGTTCTGTGGGGCATTGTCTTGTTTACTAAATGACATAGGAGGTCAGCAGACTGCACGATCTCTAGTTGGGAGTTTCTGGGCTTCCATGGTTCCTGCTGCACTCCTTTTCACGTGAGTTCCTTGGTTGGAGGCCATTACTGTACAGAAGAGTAAGCAATCAAACTTCAGGTTCTAGCTTCAAGATCCTGCTCTGACTTTCTTCAGTTTTGGACTGAAACTATAACTTGAAATACCACCCTTTTTTGTTTGGTTGGTTTTTTTTTCTTTCTTTTTTTTTTTTTTTTTTGAGCCATGGTCTTTATATGTAGCTCTTGCTAACCTGAAACTGTATATAGACCATGGTGGGATCTGAAATTGTTTGCCACAAGGCTCATTCCTTTTTTTTGTTTTGTTTTTGTTTTTCGAGACAG